GCTGGTGATTTCACAAAGACTTACTGTCGCGCAGCACCCTTGCTCATTGTAAATGGGAACATCTCCTCATTCAGAGAGAAAGGGCAGCAGCTATTTGATGAATCCATAAGGTACCAAGTGGACATCATCGGACTCCAGTCAACCAAACGCCAGGGCTCCGTAACTCAAAACCTCTTTGAGTGGAAGCAGTTCTGTCCAGGTGTTTACTTCACGACACGCGCACTGAGTGGTGTTGCCGTTCCGTTACAACCCTAGTTGAATGAAGTCAGAATCATTGAATGGAGTCGTCTATACGTCATGTGAGAGGGGAGTATATGATTCAATCACGAGGAAATAGAGATACTGTGTAGAAATGCAAAACCATGGAATCCACCATTCCAATGGGCGCATGTTGGAGCAGACAGTGAATATGGATGTGATTGGAAACAACAGTCCTAACCACCTTAACAATGATGGCATGGCGTTGTTGCACTTTGTGTAAACAACAGGCTATCTGTTATGAACACTTTTCGAGCATCGAAGCGTGCATCAGTACACTTGATATAGCGGAGCTTGAACACAGAAAGCGATGATCTATTGTATAATCGCGTAGTCTAACTTACGCGTTCTGTAATGGATATTTACACTAAAAAAGCTCAAAGCTCTCAGCTGATTATCACTTGGTTCTTTGTATCTTCCGCTGCAAACCATGGAGTACCATTTAAAGAGTTACCGCCAGAAACAACCGGAGAATTAAAAGGGAAATGTAACTTCTGCGAGTACCAGTGCATAACTTGCAAACAGCATTGCACGAAGATTTGATTTCGGATCTCAGTGATGACCGCTGATGTGGAAACCTTAAGAACGGCTTATCTGAGGTTGTCGCCCACTGTTGTGGTTTAAAACTGGTTCGACTCGTGTCTATAGACCAGAAAGGGACTTCCTGATTGATACGAGAAGTTCGGTTGACTGTAGACCAGAAGACTGTACTCAAGAGGTGATGTAGAAGCAAAGAACCTTCAACGCGAATGCAGTGCAAACATCCGCCCAAGGCGAAAATTGATTCCTGGCAAAAGTTCAGTGAGATGTCATAGCCGAATTTTCAGATGGCAAACAAGGTATTCTGCAGACAATCCGCAGTCTGCTATGTGGAAAGAAGGGCAGTCTAAGAGTCCTGAAAAACAGGCCTTGACAGCCTCCTACCAATGATGAGGAAATACTTCAGCGATGGAGAGAACATTGAAGAACTCCTTAACCATGAGCAACCGCAATAAGTTGATGCCGATATTAGTCTTTCAGTACATGAAGTCACAGAGGCTTTAAAAACCTCAAAAAATGGCAGCGCTGCTAAAATCGATAAAGGCCGTTCTGAAATGCATAAAGCTGTAAGCGAACAGTTTATGCTGTGGAAAATGCATGTTTGTCAAACTATAATCGCGAAAGGAAAGAGGCCAGTTGAGTGGATAACGGGCTTCGACACCCCATCGATGGTGCTCTGATTTCAAAACAATACCCACTGACCCTCTTGGAGAAAGTCTTCACAGAATTATTAGAAAGGAGATGCCACGGAATCGTTGACTCTAAGATACGAGATGAGTAGTGCGGTTGTACGTCAGGCCAAAGCACCTGTGATCGCATCTTCGCCTTACGCGAGGCCGTTAAGAAATCATGGTAGTTCGTTCATCCTGTCTGCATGTGATTCATTGATCTGAAGAAAAAGTATGACTGTAAGCCGTGCAACAAGCTACGAGCCTGTCTGGAAACATGCGGTATCGAAGGCCAGTTACTACGAGCTATCGAATCATTATTTGTTGGCACAAAGTAAATGACGTTAATTCGGAACCTTTCGGCGTTGGCACTGGTTTCTTCTGAGGCTGCGTTTTATCTTCAATCCTGTTTGTATCATACATGGATTGGATGGTCACGCACAGTCGAGGAGACGAGTTATTGACGTAGGACATGTGGAGATGAGAATTTTGCTGTTTGCAGGCGCTCTTATTTCGTCAGCATCTGAAACTGATTTCCATGGCTGTCTGAGAAAGCTCACTGACTTGTGAACGTATCTAAAACAAAAAGCCTAGTGCTTTCTTGTTCTCCTGTTCTTTGCTCTCTTCAGATTAATGGAGAGGCAGTGGAGCAGATGGAGAAGTTCAAGTACCTCACAATCGTATTTACTAGTGATGGAAATATTGAGGAAGAGATCGACCGGCGAACTGAAATAGCCAGTGGCGTTCTGCGTGAAAAAAAACGAACTGTGGTGACAAAAGTATGGTTGAGTCTGAAAACTAAGCTCTAGGTATTCAGGTCGATCTTTATCCCCATGCTTACCTGCGGCCATGAGTCGTGGATCATAAATGAAAAACTTCGATGTCTGGTGAAACAGCTGAAATGTTCGTTCTGAGAATCGCTGGGTTCCAGAGTACAGATATTCGAGAATACTTTGGTACACATCCGCTGCCTCTCGTGAATGAGAGTCACAGCTGCGATGGTTTGAATATGTCTTTCGAATGCTTTCAAAATGGAAGGCGAAACAGCTACTATTTGACACACAACAACTGGCAAAGGACATTGGGGAGGACTGGGGAAAAGCTATCGACACCTTGCACTCTAAAATCAGGGTATCTGCTGCCGTACCTTAAACACTAGCAGGTGATCAGAATTTTGTAAACACACTCTGACGTGTCTGCGTCTGCGGCCTGAAAGGATAAACGGTCATCGAAACTTATTAACTGACTGCAAGGCGTTGTCCTCAATCTTTATCTCAGGTTTGTTGAGGAATGTGACCGTTGAAAGGAAATTAGTTTTATAGAGGTAATATTTTTGGCGAGCACGGAAACAGAGCCTCGTTAATCTCTTTCTACAGTTTATCACAGCTTTTCATAAACGGGGCTGTTGTGGAATGTATGCTCCGTGTTATTATGCTCTGTTACGCATTTCGGATACTGTGCATGACAATGGCATGTGTACTGTGATCTTGAAAGACAGCTTCAAACCGTTTCGCACACATCAGTGTGTACATGAAATAGTGTCCCTCAAAATCCAAACTTGCATATACGTTTCAAAGAGCGACCAACGGCAAAAGTGCGATATCACATCACAGGAAAACTTACAATTTCGTGCATGCTGTTGAGGTAGTGCTGTAGCAGATGGATCCTGAAAACGGTTGGCTTAAGGGAGATGGATGGCCAGGACTTAAAATCTCCTTTGTCTTCAGGGCAGTTCTGTTCAAAAAGTCGAAGCTCTGACCACGAAGTGTAGCCGGAAGAATTGGGGGCAAAGACTTCTTCCTAAAAAATGTCGTTTCATCGTGCCATCTAGCATTTGAATGGAAAATGGCGAGTTATAGGCCAGATGAATGATTGATATGACAGATGCTTAAGACCTAAGAATAGGAAAAAATTTAACCTCATTCATTCCACATGAACAAACAATAAAATAAGAGATAAGTTGAAATTGAGTAGGGTACTGTCAGAAATGGCGTTGACGCCTTCTCAATGGGTCGTCAGTGTACGTGTACAAATGGTGAAAGAAAGACTGGTTGAATTTAATGGCGGACTTTGCGCGTCATCGATTGTGGTGTAAAGCGGCGATCGGGACATCATTGAT